AATCAACCAAACTGCTCAGATTTTCCTAAATCCACTTGTATGCTCCCCCTCCGGGCCTTCGCCCATGTTACCGCTTGGGCCTGAGAACACCTTCTCTCACCCGCTGCCCATCTGGCTGGCAAGTGCTGCACGTGTCTCTAAAAACTTGGCTCAAGGGTCTCATCTCTGAAAGCTCTTTTATCCTCCAGCTGCCCTGGGGTGGGCCTGGGCCCTGGGCCTGCCGTCACCTCCAGGAGACCCCGGTGGTACCTTGCTGCGCTTACTAGAGCCCGAGCTGGGGGCGGGGTGGGTGATGGGTGAGCCTGGGGGACCCCCAGGGCAGATGCTACTCGCTCCAGCCCACTGACACCATGTGAGAGCGGGGGCCCAGTGCAGCCAGACCCTCAGCTTTCTCATGAGAAGAAAAAACCTTGACGTTTTAACACAAAATCTCCTGATTCTTAAAGCTCAGCCAAAATTCAAACATTTTTAAATCACTAAGGGGGCCAAACAAAGCACATCTTTCGGCAGGATTCTCCAAGGGCCACCAGCTTGCAGTATGTGCTTTGCCCCTTTCTCGGGCAGGGAGTGTGTCTTCCTTGCCCGGTACAGAGGGAGGTTACTGGCAGGGGTGCGGTTAGGGAAAGGGGGACCCCCAGTTTTGTAACCGAAACTTCACTGCATCATCTCATGTAATCCTCAAAACAAAACTGCGAGGAAGGATGCCCATTTTCCAGCCAGGAAAACGGAGGCTCCAAGAGGGGAAGTGACCTACCTGGGGACCCACAGCTAGTAAACTGCGGAGTTAATTTCAACCCCAGTCAATTTCTTAACGAGCGCATCCACGGTTAAATGAGCACACAGGCCAGGCCCAGGAACAGCGCCTGCACCACAGGAAGCTCAGTCCAGCTCGGCATCGTGAGTAACGTGATTATTACGGAGAGTTAGTAACATAACTTATTGAGCCCCTGAGGTGCTAGGTGCCAGGACTGAGTGGAAACCAGAGACTGTTCCCCACTTTCTCTGGCGGTATGCACACGGGAAGGAGGCAGGCGCAGACAAGGCGGTAAATGAATTAACCGGTAAGTTCAGAGAGTGGGACGTGCTGCAGAGCAAGGTGAAGGCCGGCGATCTGATCCCCCGGGAGGAGGCTACCAGAGGAGCACGAGTATCCCCCCTGGGAAGCTCCCGGACTTCCGCTCTCCCACCCCGCGGCTTCCCCCAGGGAGGCGGATATGCAGCTGAATTCCTGCTGGAGTCCAATCCAACAGGTCTGGCCTTCCTCCACCAGTTGTTAAAGCACATCTGAACATTAAGCATTCAAGAAAGCCGGGTCTGCAAATGTTTACCTTTCATTCAGCAGCTTCCGACCCTCCCCTCAGGAGGCCCCATTAAGACACCCTCCTTGGGGATGGCAGGCAGGGTGACTGGGGAGTGCTTAGTTCCAGACATTTCTCTGAGCCGGCAAGGCTGCTCAGAGTCGGGGGGTAGGATCCCCACCCCTGCTCCACGTGCATGTACACTGGCCCCTTCCCATGCACACATGCGTGCGCACACACACACACCTGCATTTCAAAACCCCTGAAAACTGTTCAGAATCTGACCACCTAGTCCTGAGACCTGCATCAGGCTCCCCAAGAGAAAACTCCAGTAGGAGTGGGGTGGTGTGTGGAGGCAGACAGGCCCTCCCAGCTCCATCAGCCCCCATAGGGAGGCATCTTGTCCTCAGTCAGGAGCACAGAGGGAGGCCTGGATGAAGTGGGAGCCACAAATCTGTGGACAGGAATGGCGGGCACGGCTGGGAGACCCTGCACCGTCTCCCAGGGCACCGCACCCACCCTCACACTGTGACCCTCAGCAGGCTCCCCTCATTTACCCCTGCAAGCCCAGCTCCCACCTCAGTGCCAGGCAGAGACTGCCGACAGGTCCTGAGAGGCCATGCATCACGAGAATGACTGTGGCCGGCTTCAAATCCCAACTCTGGCACTTACCAGCTGTGTGACCTTAGACAAGTCACTTCACCTCTCTGTGCCTTGATTTTGCATCTATAAAACAGGGACACACTAGTACCTACTACCTCGCAGAGGTGTGGTGGAATTCACTGAGTCACATCTGGAGCCGACAGAAGAGTGCTTGGCATGCGGCAGGCCCCATATGTCTGCTGTGGTTATTAATATGGATATTGGATTCTTAACGCCTAAAATGCCGTCTCCTAAGCTAATCGTCCTAATCGTTACCAAGCTTTATATGTCATATCAGTGGCAGAAGAAACAGACTCACAGACACAAAATGCAGTACTGTACCCAGCACGTTACCTGGGTTATCAAAGTGTGACTTCCCAGGACACGGACGGCTCCGGGCTCTCCCGCTGGGGGTCAGAGGACACTGGCCCAGACAGGCTCAGTGCCTTGCCCCAAATCACACAGCAGTGAAGCCACAGGTCTGGAAAACCCACACACTCAGATTGAGGCTTTCCCCAAGCCTCTGCCCCTTCCACGGCACTGCCCATCCCCAAAGGAGGAGGAAATCTAGGCAGGTGGGCCCCTCAGACCTCTCCCCTGGTGTCCGGGGCTGCAGTTTTGGGGACATTGGCCATTGTAGAATTTCAGCCCTGCTGCTGCTGGGCCACTTGCAAACCTGTGCTGGGACAGATCCACATGCACTGAGCTTTGTAGCAAAGGCACCAAAAAAAAAAAAAAAAATTAGAACAGCCCAGCTAAGCTGAAATGCTCTCCTCAGAGAGGAAGGGAAATAAAATTTGATGAACCTCTGCATAATGTTCAAGTTATGAACGTGTAAAGTGATATTCTGCACATATACTGGGAACCATTCATCTGCCCCCACATGGCTGGGGCCTGAGCTATTAGGGACCATTCCAACCAGGGCACCAGCAAACAGCAACTTCTTGCTGATGAGGTACAAAGAGGTCCTGTCTTCTGCCTCAGCAAAACAAGGTTGCCCTCGGATGCCCCAGGCTCTCCCGCAGCCGAGGGGACAGCTGAGGATGCAGTGTTAAGGGGTGGTTTTAGACATCGCGCTGTGTATATGGATGCTATAAACGTTTCCTGAGTGCCCACTGCGGGCCCCATCCTATGCTGGCCATTGCCACCTTCCTAGTGAGCACGCTCTGTCCACAGCCAGGGGCGAGGCGGCCCTGTATGCTTGGGTAGTCTGGGCTCCCCCGCCACGGCTGCCTGGCCCCAGACTAGACACCTGACCTGGGACTGTGGCGTGGGGGTGCTGGGAAGCTGAATCTGCCCGATGATGGTCAAGGTTGAGCTGAAAGGGTGTGAGGCAACCAGGCCTGAGGTCCCCAGGGAGAAGAATTCAGTCGGTTACCCAAAGAAAAATAAAAAAGCACCTACTAGGTGCCTGGCCTAGTTGCAGGTGCTCAGAATACAGCAGGGAGCAAGACAGCGAAACCCTCTATCATGGAGCTCACAGCCTATGAACGTATCCAACATAAACAGAATAAGGTCAGGTTGTGTAGGTGCTCTGAAAAAATAGTGACTACAGTGCATGGGGCAAATTTAGACCGAGTGATTAAGGAAGGCCTCTCCAAGCAGATGACGTTCAAGCTGAGACCCGAGTAAGCCAGCCAGGTGAGTACTCCAGGAAAGGGCATAGCAAGTGCTAAGGCCCCAAGAGGGAGTGAGCTTGCAGTGTTCAAGGGACAGAAAGGAGACCCACATGGCACAGGAGAGACAACGGGGTCTGCAGCAGTCAGAGAGAGGTCCCTGTGTGGCCTCCATCATGTGACTCCTCAGCTTAAAACCCTTCCACTGGGGGCGCCTGGGTGGCTCAGTCGGTTAAGCGGCTGCCTTCGTCTCAGGTCATGATCCCAGGGTCCCCGGGATCGAGCCCCGCATCGGGCTCCCTGCTCGGCGGGGAGTCTGCCTCTCCCTCTCCCTCTGCCTGCCTCTCTGCCTACCTGTTCTCTCTATCTCTCTGTCAAATAAATAAAAAAAAACAAAAAACAAAAAAAACCCTTCCACTGTCCCACAGAAAGTCCAGCTCCTCAATGCTGCCCAGCTCTGCAGCCTCCTTCCCCCTTTTCCTCCTCAGACTCTGTCATCAGTCCTGATAACCTTCTAGTTCCCTGCCATTGAAAGGCATTATTGCATATCCAGTCAGCTCCCCTAGAAGCAGACACTGTGATAAGGACTTGGATACAGGTAGTTTATTTAGGAGGTGGTCCCAGGAAATATGCTAACTATCTGCCTGTTTGTCCTTCATCCATTATCCACCATCCATCCATGCACCCATCCATCCATGTATGCATGCACTCATCCATGCATGCATGAATTCATTCATTCATCTATCCATCCTTCCACCCATCCATCCATCCATCCATCCACCCAACCATCCATCCATCCATCCATCCACCCACCCACCCAACTATACATACATACATATGCCCAACCAACCATCCATCCATCCATCCATCCATCCACCCACCCAACCATACATACATACATGTACCCAACCATGCATCCATCCATCCATTCATCCATGCATTCATACACACACAATTTATTGTCACTTCTTCTATTCCCAACTGGACTCTGAGGACTCAGGTGATCAGATGTAGTCCCTGGCCTTGAGGAGACCTCCTCATCCAGCAATCATCAACAATCCCACTGCTGGGTCCTCTTTTCACCCAATGCTGTGACAGAGCCCAAGAAGGGGACCTTGGTTCGTTCTCTGTATGCCCCTAAGAAGACATGGTTCTAACAAGCATGGGGCTAAATAGCAAACACTGAGACTCAGTTTTCTTCTTGGTTTCTCAGGCTCTGATTATAAGGCAACCTCACGTCCCATAAAACATCAAAATGTCCCAGAAATTCTAACACAGTGGGGTCCAAACTCTGCCTCACCCAGCATCTCCCTTCTACCCCACTACCTCCCCAAGATGCTTCTGTCAGATCACTCTAGTTTGACTGGAGCCCTATGACCACTGAGGCCAAACCCTGGGCTTTGGATTCCCAGTGATGGCCAGAGGTGACCCCATGTGCACTGACCTCTCCCGGAAGTACTTGATGGCCTCAGGGTCTATGAAGGTTGGCTCCTCCCGGTAGCCCTGCTCAAAGACCTTGCGCTTGTGCCGGAACTCAATGACCGTCTTGGTGTAGGAGTTGAGTGTGGTGACAGAGGCCGCCATGCAGCAGGTAAAGGAGCCCCACGCCAGGCTGCCAAGAGATGAGAGAGGTGCCACAGTGAGGGTGGGCAGGGGACAGGAAACCCCCCCCCCCGCCACCGCCAGCAGACATGCATTCACCCTGCCCAGCTGCCTCCTCTGATCTGGGCCAGTCTGGAGCAGGTGCTACCACAGAGAAGACTAAGACGAGGCCCTTGCTCCACTCAATCTGTACACTGTGATGCAGATACGACAGCATTCATTACGGGGAGGCAAGAAAAGAGCGAGACCTTCCATCCACGGGGGCCAGCCTCAGGGAAGGTCACCAGAACACAACTAGGCTTGCATGGGCTCTTGGAGGAGGAGCGAGAGTTTGCCAGGGGGGCGGGGAAGGGAAGGGCATTCCAGGAAGAGGGAAGGGCATGTGCAAAGGTGCAGAGGTGCGAGGCAGTAGGGAACGGTCCACAGACTGCAGGAGGTCTGGGATGCTGGAGTGAGGGAGAGTGCAATTAGTTGGGAGTTGATGATTGAGAAGATGGGGGGCAGACACCCTAAAAGCTGCTGTCCATGGGGGTTAAATTACCTCTGTTCATGTGTGACCTTGGGCAAGATGCTTAACCTCTCTGCCTCTTACTTCTACCATTTTAATGGACATAACAACAGCACCAGCTCACAACGTTGTTGCAAGGATTAAAGGAGATGGGGCATTCAAAATATCTCAGAACAGTGCCCTGGCGCACAGAGTGGGCCCTCAAGAAAGGTTTGCTGTCATTACTACCATCAGCAGTTTCAACATTCTTACTACCCACTTCTGTCTGGCTTCATTTCCAAACTCTCCCTCTGAGAGATTAAGTTATCATGACCGTGTGGCGTTCTCCTCCACCCTTCCTCCAAGCACCGCTGGTGACTCTTAGCCGCACTCACCTGATATGGATGTGGAGCCAGCCAGAGCCGGAGGATCTGTCCTATCCACAACTGGAAAGTAGGGAAGGGTAGTGTAGGGCTAGGAGATCAGCTGGCCAGGGAGCTGGTCTTCTCTGACCCAGTGTCCATTCTAGAAGTGGCCTCCCGCCTAATTCCTCTGACCAAGACTACGCAGTAACATTTAGAACCAGGAGTGGGGACCCGCCTGACTCCAGTTAGTTACACACAGTCTGGTCTCCGGGTCCGTGCTCCCCAGTCTCTGCCCTGATGACTGGTTTCCTCCGAATCAAGGGCTCAGTGCCACTGCCCTGTCTCAGAGCATCCAGCCTCCCCTTCTGCCAGCCAACCGTTGGGTCTCTCACCATCACCACCCATGCATTCCTCAAGGCCAGTGCAGCCTACCTCCCACACCCACTGTTCTTCTCTTTATCAGCCCCAGGCCACCCAGAAGGAAAGCAAGGGGAAGTGTGAAGATTCAGCCTTTCTCACAGGGATCCCCTATCATCACCTGTCCCTTATTGCCAAAACCGTTCATGGATTCTTTGTTCTTTCATGATAAGGAGCTAATTTAGGCCTCCCAGAAGCTCTTGAGTATCTGTAATAGACAGCGATGGGGTCCACCTGGCCCGTCTTAGAACTGCCCTGTCCATCAAAGAGTCCAGGAGGTGACCCCGCCCCCCTGCTCATAGATGATTGGATGAGGGCTGGGCATCTGACCAAAGTTGGCCCAATCAGATACTCTCTCCTCTAAGCAATGAAACTCAAGACTAGTTCAAAGAAGGATGTGTGTTTGAACTACAGAGGTGGAAATTCAGAACGTGAGGCTAGAGAATAAAGAAGCAGGCTTTTCCTGGGATTCCACGAGGATACGTACGTTGGTTTTGCCTGACCAGCATCCTTTCTGTTAAGGGACCAGTGCTCCCCTCCTCTCAGGCCACGTGGTTTGTGTGGAGCTGGCCTCACCCCCAACTTTTAGGGGTGATCACATGGCCAACACCTGGCCAATGAGAGCATCAGCTTCCCTCTGGCCACAGTAATTGGTTCAAGGATGGGCACATGACACCCAAGTCAGGCTAATGAGACTCGATCCCAGGACTCTTGGACGTATTTCACCCGGGGTGCCAAGCTGGTGGGATTTGAGCGTGGAGCTGCTGGGAACTGGCTTGCCACTATGCAAACTGCTGAGGAGGCTGACTCAAAGCAGAGCTGTGAAAAAGGAGCTAGATCCCTGCGCTGAAGCCATTATCCCTGGACTTTTCAGTTATGGGAGCCCAAATTCTTTTATCGGATGTTTTCTTTCCCTAAGCCAGTTCGAATTGGGTGTCTGTCGTTGGCAACCCAAGTTCTTGTACAATTACTTTCTATAAACTCCTCTTTTACACAACTTAGTTTTAAAGTGAACTTCTAGTCTTTACGATCAGGAATCTTATCTAGGAGCAGGTCCAACTCCCAAGTCTGATGACCCAACCAGAGAAGGAGCATCTCTCCCTGTCACACACACCCCTGTTCAATTTCATCTCAGCCCTCGCCACACCCTGTAATTCTCCTGTAGCTTTTCTTCCTATTTATCATTCTTTGTTCTTAAATGAAACTTGCTATTTTGGGGTAATTATAGATTCACATGCAGTTGTAAGAAATAATACAGAGAGATCCACGTACCCTTTACCCAGTTTCCCTCAGTGGTAACATCTTGCAAAGATAGTCCCCAGCCAGCATATCGACTCCGATACAGTCAAGATACAGAACAGCTCCATCCATCACAACGATCCCTCCTCTTGCCATTTTACAGCCACACCCCCTCCCCTCCCAACCTCTGGCAACCAGTAATCAGTTCTTCGTTTCTCTAATTTTGTCATGTTAAGAATGTGGCACAAATGGCATCACACAGCACGTATTTTGGGGATTGGCTTTTTGCACTCCGTGTAATTCTCTGGAGAGTCATCCCGGTTGCTGTGTGTATCAGCCATTTGTTCCCTTATATCAGGGAGTTTCTCCACATCTGCACCAGCATGTCATGTTGTCACTTTTTTTTTTTTTTTTTTAGCGATTCTGATAGATGCATAATAACACCTCATTGTGGTTTTCATTTGCATTTTCCTAATGGCTAATGGTGTTGAACATCTTTTCGGTTGCTTACTTGCCATCTGTTTATCCTCTTTGGCAAAATATGTTCATGTTCTTCTGCCCACTTTCTAATTGGATTGTTTTGCTGCTATTGTTGCTTACTGTTGAGTTTTGAGTGTTTGTATAGATCCTAAATACTAGGCCTTTGTCAGAGAGGTGGCTTACAAATGGTTTCTTCCTCTGTAACTTGTTTTCCAACGTCTTTACAAGGTCTGTCACAGGGCAAGCATTTCATTTTGCTGACATCCAATTGATCATATTTTCCATTTATGCTTTTGACCCATTTGATATCAAATCTAAGACCTCTTTGCCTATGTCTAGATCCCAAAGATTTTCTATTTTTCTCTAAAGATTTTACAGTTTTACAATTTACATTTAGGTCCACGACCCATTTTGAGTTGATTTTTACACAAGGCGTGGAGTTTAGATCAAGATGGACTTTTTTTCTTTTGTCTCTGAATGTCCCATAGTTCCAGCACCATTTGTTGAAAAGGCTACCCCCGACCTCCACTGAATGGATTTGCATCTTTGTCAAGTATCAGTTAGGCCTATTTGCGTGGGTCTATTTCCGGGTCCCTTATTCTGTCCCATTGATCTCTGTGTATCCCTTCACCCATACCACACTGTCTAGACTACGTAACTATACATTAAGTCTTGAAATTGGATAGACTGATTCCTCCCACTTTTAGTCTTCTTTTTCAAAACTGTTTTAGCTCTTCTAGTTCCTTTGCCTTTCCTAATAAATTGTAGAATACTCTTATCTATACCTACAAGAAATCTTGCTGAGATTTTAATAGGAATTGCATGAAACCTGTATACCAGCTTGAGGGGAACTGATATCTTTGCCACAAACATGGTGTATCGCTCCATTTATTTCGATCTTCTTTGATTTCTTTCATTGCCATTTTGTGGTTTTCAGCATGCAAGTCCTACAGATGTTTTGTTAGATTTATGATGAAGCGTTTCACTTTTTTCAGTGCAAACAATACTGTATTTTTAGTTTTGTTGTCCAACTGTTCAATGCTAGTTTATTAGAAATATAACTGATTGGGGGCACCGGGGCACCTGGATGGTTCCATCGGCTGAGCATCTGACTCTTGGTTTTGGCTCAGGCCATGATCTCAGGATCTTGAGATAGCGCCCCACTTCGGGCTCCACGTTCAGCAGGGTGTCTGCTTGAGATTCTCTTCCTCTTCTTCTCCCTCTGCCCTTCCCCTGCTTGTGCTCTCTCTCTTCCTCTCTCTCAAATAAATAAATCTTTTTTAAAAATTGATTGGGGCGCCTGGGTGGCTCAGTTGGTTGAGCATCTGACTCTTGGTTTCGGCTCAGGTCATGATCTCACGGGTCATAAGATCGAGCCCTGAGTCAGGCTCCACACTCAGTGGGGAGTCTGCTTGAAGATTCTCTGCCCCTCCCCCCATTTACACGCACTTACACGCTCTGTAAAGTCAATAAATCTTAAAAAAAAGAAATATAATTGATTTTGTGGTTTTTCTCTTGTATACCAAGACTGTACTGAGCTCGTATATTAGGTCTAGGCATTTTTTGATAGATCTCTTGGATTCTTCTACATAGGCAATCATGTCTTCTGCAAATAAGTATGGTTTACTTCTTCCTTTCCAATCTGTATGCCTTTTATTTACTTCTCATGCTTTACTGTACGGGCGAGAACTTCCAGCACTGTGCTAAGAGTGGTGTTCCCAGTCTCAGGGGGAAACGTTCAGTTGTGATACCACCTGGTGGGAGCAGGGGTCCCGCCTCCCCATGTGACCTCCACTGCCACTCGGGAATGGGTGGGGCTTGTTACTGTTCCAGCAAAGTGACAGTCCCGGCTCCCTACTCTGCTATCCCCGTAGCCGGTGAGGTGCCTCATGACAGCCTGGTGAGGTGAATCTAAGCTTGCACGAGTGGGGGGTCAAACTGTTGGTTTGTTTTCTGTGATGTAGGACTATCGAGAGCAGCTACTGCTAAGTTTTCTCTCTTGGTAGGCTGCCCCTTTCCTGG